CCGAAGCGCATTGACACTTGAGCTGCCTGTGGAACTTGGGCATCGTCAGAGCCACCAGAACCGAGCCACCAGAACCCAACGGTTGCGACGGTCAACTTGCATTGGCTTAAGCCGATAAACATGTTCAAGCCACCAGAACCCAGCTGTTCTTGCGTCAACTTGCATTGGCTTGAGTCGACAGACACGTTCAACAGAAGAACAAGAAGCTCAGACAGGCGTAGTCTTCAACTTGTGTAGACAGAAGAGCCGCTCAGAGGCAAGAGCGGCAGCCGAAAACAGTTAGCTGCGCGGGAAGCGCGGCAGCAAGTGTGCTGCGCTCTATTGGGAAAGGCAGAAAATAAGATGAAAGTGCTGCATAATACGGCACGTGAGACAGTGCCTCAACTTGCCACTCTTGAAATCGCACTTGTAATTGCCATAAGCTTGGCTTTGACCGATGCAATGATGGTGTTGCGGGGCCCCACGGCCGCTAACGACGCCATGACCTTGCTTGATGCAGGTCAAAACGAGCCGTTTTTACAACAGGGCCAGCGAAAACGACACTCGAGCAAACGCTTGCACGAGCATTCCAAGCAAAACATCTCAAAACAAACACCCCGGAAACGTGAACCCCGTTGCATTTGCAACGCAATTGTAGAACCTCACGAAACACGGCGCCTGCGCAGCGAAACGACACGTCGAGCTTGGGAAGCTACGATTCGCGCACAGGGCCAACGAAAACAGCACATCGCAAGTCATCAAAATCACACGTTCTGCGCTTTCTCCGCTGTAATGGAATTGTGGACCCTCCCGCGACGACACCGCGACGACGCCGCGACGACATCGGCTTGACACCACGACGACGCGACGACGAGCCGACCAACGCGACACGAACAAGGGTCCAACCCCCAGACCCCCAGACTATAAACGGGAACCCTTCGCTACGCTTTCAGGAAAATGCTCAGTCGGGTGACTCTGGATTTACAAGTCGAATATCCTTTCTCATCATCTGACGCGTCCTTGGTGGCACGAGTCGAGCACTCTGATTGCACGTTGAACATGTGTGCAATAAATGATTCAAGAACTCAGGCACGGACTGCATCAATCTCAAGTTGCTTCAACGATCATCAGAACCAGACAATTACTGCTCTTCTTTGTTGTATGCCATGCCTTCCAAGCCACTGAAAAGAGTGGGCCAGCCGCGATCGGCGTGGAAGACCCCGGTGATGCACGAGCAGTTATCATGCCTGGTGACCTTGAAACAACAGTCGACAAAAGTGCGTGTTGGTGCGCGTGTGTGTAGGAGTCAAAATTTGGCCTCCACGGGGTTGGATTCTGTAGGCCTTGAGACTTCAACTTTGAGAGTTTTCAACACCCCATGTCTTGCCTATGGCATGCAAAGATTCTCCTGCGATCCCTGCCACTAGGCACACCTCAGAGATAGTTGCCAGTCGAGGGGCAGGGGTGTGGACTGCGGATTGGTGTCCCGGACGGCATCGGCGTATCCTACAGGTCGATGTGGAATGGGCAGCCTCAGTGTGGCTTGCCGTCCGCCCCGGATGTCTCTAGGCCCTCAATGCTGACCATTTAGGCAGCTGTCACTATCTTACTGCACCAAGCGGCATGCACCCAGAACACTTTGCTCGAGCTGTGGCCATGGGCAAAGCGGCTTCTAGGCTCACCTGTTCAAGGAACACGGAACCGTCATGCTCACATCTTGGAGCCCTTGTGCAGTCCTGAAGCTTTCTGGCATCAGCATCCTCGATGAACGATCCACTGCGTTGAACCTGAGGATCTGCAATGGCAAATGCTGAAGTGCAGGCTCAATAGACGAGAATGCGCAGTGCAATTTGATGCGTGAAAGGCGCGTCGGTTGATTTCAATGAGCGCGTGATCTCGCAAGTTCCAGGCGAGCCTGCGCTTCCTGCATTGACATGTTCCCTCACAAGCTGCCAAAGAACGGCTGCCACCAATCTCACTGATCAGCCGTGCGGCGGGCGCAAGCTGCATCAATCATCCCTGCGGAGAAGGATCTGACTGATTCCTTTCTGTCCTGAGTGTGTCAGAATCAACACCGCAAGCGAGCACTATGAGCGTCTATTCCAAACTTCCATGTTCATCCATCGAGTCACTTGCCAGATCTCTTCTTCGTCATCGGTGTCTGGCCAGACGGTTGCGGCCTCTTGAGGCTCCTCATAGCTCAGCTCGTAGGGCACGTAACCTGAGAAGCTCCGCGATCGCCGGATGAGCACAGGCGATGATTCATCGTCGTCCTTACAAACAAAAACGAGTGGGAGAGGTGGGAGACGAGGCTCGTAGACCGTCATGGCTCCCGCCAAAATGAGTTGAGCCAAAGAACTTTCAGCGTGAGCTGACAAAAACACATGTGCATGCAAGCATAAAGCAAAGTAACCCGGCAGCATCACTGAGCCATTGTAGGCCAAGACGGTGCCGATCTCTTTGGCAAGCCTTACTGGCAAGCATGTTTTGAGCTAATATGCTGCGATATGGCTGGATTCATGAAATCCTGAACCATGGGAAACCATCGGTTGTTGGTATTTAATTGCAGGCGGATCATCATTCCAGTGGTGCACGATTTTTGTCCATCCACAGTATGGCTGGATGAGTAGTCTCAGTCCAGTACCCAAGCAAGGCTGAGAGGCTGGTAGCAACCATGACTGGCGACACTGGCTTCACAACCCCTCTTTACTAAAGTGGTCTGCGTAGCTCACACATTCGCCGACCATAGACGGCGCGTTGGACACAAGAAATGCTCCCGACTTCTTTACCTGTTCTTCCCCGAACGGTTCAGCCTCTTGCTGGGCAGGGGCGGTCCCATCATTGGCATTATCTGGATGACATTGTGGCAAAACAGGGGTGCACAGAGTCATCTTTGGATGTTAACGTGCCAAAATCCTAATGGCTTAAATCACAAAAGATTAGTGGATGAAAACCTGAAAATCCTAATGGCTTGACCTCTGCAAATCTGAGCGGCTTACAATCTTAAAACCTCAGTGGATTTTTGCGTTAACATCGAAATGGCTAGTCATGGCGTACAATGTTGAAATATTAATGGCTTCAAACCTTACAATCTTCATGAAGTAAAATCTTAAAACCTTGGTGGGCTCAAAATCTTAGTGGCCTGAAAATCCTACTGGATTGCACTCTGAAAATCTGAATGGCTTACAATCTTAAAACCTTAGTGGCCCAACGTTCCAGAAAGTGTCCATGAACTTTCCAGGGGTTTTCCATGAACGTTCCATGAACTTTCCAGGAACTTGCCAGGAACTTGCCAGGAAGCTTCCATGAACATTCCATGAACTTTCCATGAACTGTCCATGAACAGTCCATTAACTTTCCATGAATGTTCCACAACTTTTCCATGAACGTTCCATGAAATGTCCATGAACTTTCCAGGACGTTTCCAGGAACTTTCCATGAACTTTCCATGAACTGTCCATGAACTTGCCAGGAAGCTTCCATGAACTTTCAGGAACTTTCCGGGAACTGTCCATGAACTTTCCATGAACGTGTCATGAATATTACCGGCTTCAAACCTTACAACCTTCATGGAGTTAAATCTTAAACGCTTGGTGGCTTAATGGCTTAAAATCTTACCGGCGAAAAATCAACAAAATACAAGTGTACTGGCTGAAAACCGCAAAATCTTAGAGACCTGAAAATCCCAATGGATTACACTCTGAAAATCTGAATAGCTTACAATCTTAAAACCTTAGTGACCCAACGTTCCAGGAACTTTCCAGGAAGTGTCCATGAACTTTCCAGGAACTGTCAAGGGTTTTTCCATGAACTTTCCAGGAGCTTTCCATGAACTTTTCGGGAACTTTCCATGAACTTTCCATGAACTTTCGAGTAACTGTCCATGAACGTTTCATGAACTTTCGAGGATCTTGCCAGGGAAGTTTCCATGAATAGAGACCTTTCATCGGAAGAATTCCAACGGGAGAAATTCGCATGGCAGAAATTGGACAATTCCAAAGAGACAAATTGGGAGAATTCCAAAGCAAAATCTTAAGGGACAAATCCAAAGGGACACTTCTCATCGGAAAATTCCAAAGGGAAACTTCCAGTTGGACAATTTCAATGGGAAAATTAGATTCCAAAATAACGTCGAATTGGAGACGTCCAATGGGAGAAGACTATTGGGAAAAGTCCAAAGGGAAAACATCAAAGGGAAACTTCCAATGGGAAAAGTGCTCTCAGGGGGACTGCGAATGGAAGAATTCCAATTGGACAAAGGAAACTTCCAATGGGACAATTCCAAACGGACGCTATAAGAAAGCGGGCCTGCAATATCGACAGCCTGAGCTGGAGGCTAAGCTTCACACAGGTCTACTTTCCCTGCAGGTCTCTATGTCTCGTGAGCTCTAAGATAGCCTCTGCGTCACGTACTTGGCGAGGCTTGCCAGCTCCTGATCCAACAGACGACACTCCCAGGACTCAGAGACTGCCTAGGGAAGCGCTGGTCTTTGCAGCCAGGCGAGAGATTGCCTGGGTGACTCGTGCAAGGACATGAGTTTCCGCTACCTGTGAGTGGAGGCCATCGTGACTTCCATTGCCAACTCAGCCTCTGCAGCGATGTGTAAAGAAGAACCAAGATAATCAAAGGCACCCACCGTTGGATTCAGCTGCATTGCGCGCGAGGATGGAGAGATGTTGCTGGAAATCCGTCACTGGAAAGGGCTGGTGTGTTGGTGAGGGTCTCTTACACTGCCACAGACTTGCTTCGCTTCAGCATGTGAACCACGCTTCTGTCACGGTGGAAATATCGATCCTCGTTGCCAAATCTGCACTGACCCATAGGAGGTCTGCTGAAGAACGACTCCCAATGACATGCAAGACGTCTGAAAGAGCAAACGATTGGGATGTCTTAGGCCACGAATCTCATTGAGGGTGACGGGTTCGATGGTCAAGCTGCATCAAAGGCCATTGTGAGCTTTTTCGGCACGGCTGGGCACTGAGTCCAACCGACTGCACTAAAAGGCGAAAGCCTTGGCTCCTCATGTGTGCCTCAGACGGGCCCCGGCTCAAGGCCCTGGCTCAAGGCGGCTCAAAACGCATCTAAGAAGGCGGCGATCCCAAGGTGAGCACAACTCCGTAGAGGCCGAATGCCGTGCCAGCAAAGGCCTGGCATTTCCAACAAATCTGGAACCGTTCCCTTTGTTGACAGTCAAAGTCAGGCCGGAGTGCGGAAAGAATGCAGAGGATGCTCCAGCACGCTTGCCGGCTTTGCCTGACAAGCAAGGCTTGTCGTCAATCCACTCTTGCAAGTGTCCCAATCAATGAGTGGACGACAGGGTCTCAAGCTCAAGCAGACGCTCCCAGGAAACAATCTTATCAGCAGTGCATGTGCGAGAATTCAGCGCGCCTTGGCAAGCAAAGGTACATCAAAGGAGGTGCCACAAAGCACACTGGTGTTGCAAACACCTGTCATGTGCTCCAAGCCTTCTGCCATGTTTAACAATTCTGCATGTGCAGTAGTTTAACATGCTCGAAAGTTGGGCACTGGTACAACTTGTTGAAACAAACGAACAACAAAATTGACAGCATTCAGGTGGGCGCTCGTTTGCTTTCCTTTGATTTTATTTGCCCCTTTCAGCCAACCCCTATTTCCATCCTGAAGTGAAAAAACGAGAGCATCGCCGTGGCTTTTCTTCGCGGAGCGCCGAGCCATGCTTTCGCAGTGGTTCGAGGTTGAACACTCCAGAGGTGACCGAAGCCACGCATCGCAGTTTGATTTCTACCAGCACCAGAGCTCCTTGCTCCGTAGTCAAGTTCTATCGCGGAGAGACGATAAGTGCAGATCGCTTTGAGCTCTTTGCTTCAGGTTTGTCGCTTGGGCAATAGGCAATTCCATTCGCGCAGCCTGAGCACTTGCGCTAGAGTCGAGAAAAGGGCCTGGGTTGACCCGTTCAACTCGGCGCCAGACAGAGTTTGCTGTTCTTTGCATCAAGCAATGATCCATCGCAGCAAACTCCGCTGTACCCACAGGCTTTCAGTGAACTGTGCTTGGTGCATAATTTACAATGTCCACCACTATGATTAGTAGAAACGCCCTGACCAAAGCTAAGCACACCACAAAAACAAATAACAAGATTAGTAGAAACCCCCCGAACAAAGCTAAGCACACTCCAAAAACAAATAATAAGATACCCCTACAAAACTTGTTCCATTAGCACGGCATCCCACAAGTTCAGAATCTGAGTGCCAGGCCTGAGTTAAGAACTGCCATCAAAGATCTGTCTGCCCAGTAATCATTCGACCGCCACTGTCACATGCTGCTGTAAGACAACCAAAACATCGACCCTCCAATCAGAGCATGTCTGCACCAACTGCTTTGCGCGCACGCACTGGTGCAGTTCTCACACCACATCTGACATGACATCTGGAAGTGGGATTTATCAACTTCATGGTGAGAGAACACACCACACGCACCAAAGGTGACCCTGGAAGGTGAAGAAAGCTGGGTGGCACAGATGAGGGTGCAAAAGCCAGCATCCATATCCTTCTGACATGCTCAAAGGGAGGGTGGGATGGTTCAAAAACGATCCAGGAGGGGCACTTGAGCACAAAGTGCCACCGATGGGAATGGTTGAAGAGACATGTGTTGAGCTCGATGCTGCAGTAAAAGTTTTGCTCCAACACACAAGCTGTGTTGACTACAAAACTTGTTCCATTAGCACGGCATCCCACAAGTTCAGAATCTGAGTGCCAGGCCTGAGTTAAGAGCTGCCATCAAAGATCTGTCTGCCCAGTAATCATTCGACCGCCACTGTCACATGCTGCTGTAAGACAACCAAAACATCGACCCTCCAATCAGAGCATGTCTGCACCAACTGCTTTGTGTGCACGCACTGGTGCAGTTCTGACACCACATCTGACATGACATCTGGAAGTGGGATTTATCAACTTCATGGTGAGAGAACACACCAAAACCAGTGAGGAACACCAAGTGTACAGTGCAGACATGCCAAATCATGGACGGGAACTTGGGGGGCAATACTGCGAGATGGGGGGAGACCGAGGCGCTGGGCAGCGCGCGTGTTTTCCACTTTCCTGCCATGAAAGGACTATGTGTCCTTCTCAGAGTCTGAATCTCTCATGGTCAATTCAACAGCTTCGCGCCTGTCCAAGGCGGATTTTGTCAAATATGTCAGAAAGGCGCCTGACCTCCACCCTCCTGCTCGCAAAATCAATGACAGCGGGGACCCTTTGTCAAGCATGTCAGAGGCCATGCCTCGTCGAAAAGAATGCCACCCTGGCCACTCAATGCGCGCTGTTTCACAGCAAGCACGGAACTGCTGCGTGGCCTCATGCAAATTGAAAGGCCAGATTGCAACATTGGGGCGAGAATCTTGAGCGGAAGCCACTTGAAGCTGCCTTGCCAACGCACATGCGCAGCAAAGAATGTCCAGCGTGCTTTTGCAAGAGCACTGACGAATCAACTTGGCACCCTGGGGCATGTTCTTTCTTGAACGAAGAGTCACCTCCACGCGGCTTCCCTGCACATGGACCTTGGAATGCCACGGCGTGGCTGCGCGCTCGTCTGAAGACAGACCATCAGCCTGCAGAGGAATGAGCTCGTTGGCAACCGGAAAAGAAAGCCACGTGCCACCACAAATAATCTTGCAAGGTCGAACCAGCCATTCTGCATTGCAGCTTGGACTAGAAGGATGACTTCCGGTTGCCTAAGACGAGGAAGCTCTGCCCTTCTGTCTTTTCGAGCGCCTCGCAAAAGCTGATTCCATCTGAATATCGGAATTGACGGCTCGCGGCCCAGAACGCGCAAGATTAAGCGCACATGCCCAAGATACTCCCTCAGGGTGTCAGGATTCCGGAACTGTTGTGCGAATGCCCCCACCATTTCCAACGCTGTAGGCCCGCCTGGGCCAAACCGAGGCAACAAATAAGGGCAATCTGATTCTATGCAGCGTGTGTCCCCAAACATGTTGCAGAAAGACATTCCACTACTCGAGGTTCATCGAAATATGCCTCCAGCGCCAATCCTGCCCCTGCAGCAGTAATTGGCCCTTGACAAGCCAGAACTTCCAGCCAGGAGCCTTGTCGGCACAGCGAAGCGAAGTCTGCCCATGTTTTGAGAGGCCCGTGCGCCACCTCAAAAACTTTAGTGGGAAGAAATCTGGTCGGAGAAGCAGCAACAGGGTGAGAAGTTCTGGCGCTGGTTCGGCATGCTGTGACGGCACGCGCCGTTCCGGGAAATTCGACATCCAGCCGCGCGATCGCGCGGTCCGGGAGTTCAGAGAGCAAAACCGCACGGCCGTGCACTATGGCCTCCAACTTTCTTCGGCAATCATGGCCATGATGAGGCACCAGCGACACCGGCTCCGTAAGTGGGGCTGATGGCGACCATTGGCTCTTGAACCGCTGCATGCTACCCTTTGGGGGGTCATTGGACATGCAAAACGCAAACTGCTCACTTCGTGCAAAGGCCCCCCCCCAAAAAAAAAGAAGAAGAAAAAAACACAGAAAAACCCCAAAAAACGTGCAAATCGTACACTCAGCAAGTCAAGTTCAGTTTTCCTCGCGCACCCTTGCCTCCTGTAACCTGCGCGCTATAGATTCAAAGCGGACACGCCACGGCATCTGAGTGCCAAGACCTGCCGAGCGGCCCCTTGAAGGCCAATCAGCTATGTTGAGTTTAGAGGGCACGTAGCGGAAAAAGACCTGTGTGCAAGTTGATGCCACTTGACTCCAGAAGATTTCCACCAGTGCCTGCATGTCCCAGCTGGAGCTGGAACCCTTGCGCAGAGCTCCCAGCGCAGACTGATTGTCCACAAAGAGCACTGCCCGACAACCATTGAGCTGACGCGCAAAAATGCGCGCAGCGCAGACAACCATCAGCGCCTCATAGATGCAGATCTGCGTGCGCCGGGCCTTCAAGTGCTGGCGCAAGAAAGTAGGGACCGTTCCAGAAACCCACCGGACTGTTGAGCCCACGAAAACAGCACCCAGACCGCCACTTCCAGAAGCATCTGTGTAAATGAGAACCGGCTCTTGCTGAGGAAATTGCACTGGCCGCGTGACGCCACTCAAGCACTGCAGCTCGCGCGCCCACCATTCCAGATCGCTGATTGCCCGCGGCAGCAAGGGCGCCTTCCACAGGCGCACCTGCTGGTGCAAGCCTCTGAGGTGGCAGCGCGCGGCTGGGCCCCACATTGCCCAAACTGCGAAGCTGAGACGGCCAGTGAGCTTACGCAGCCCGACCAAATCGACATCGCCCTCGTTCAAAGTCCGGGACACCTCCTCGACCCAAAGCGCAGCTTTCATAGGCTCTGGCGAATATTGCAAGGAATGACCATTGTCAACGAGGGCGACCTTAATGCCCAAAACAGTCTGGCATGAGGATGGCTCTGGTGTTTTAGATTCCTCAAGAGTGAAGCCCAACAGATCGATGCACTCCAGTGCTGCGAGCCGACACTCCGCAGATGCTGCCACGAAATCCACCCAGAACAAATCGTCCACATACCGGACACACGGTATGAGAAGAAATTCCTGCAAGATTGCAGCGAGCCGATCCCACGCATACACGGAGGCCACTGCCCCAAATGGCATTGCCAACTGTGTGGCAATGAACAGCTGGCCACCTGGATTTCGAAGCAGTACCGATGCTAGTCCCAAGTCGGAGCCAGCCAAAGGCAGCGAACGATACGCGGCTTTAAAGTCTGACTTGAGCAAGGCCAACGGCTCCTGGGTGTCGGCCAAAGTGCGGGTCACAGCTTCCAGGTTTGTAAGCCTGCCCATGCGGATTCGCCGGCTCACACTGGCGGCATCATTGACACCTGATTCCTTGAAGTCGTCAATGCATCGGACTTTGTCGGCCCCTCTGCTGCAAATGAAAAATAAGGTCTTTGTCGCTCCAGCCTATCTGTTCCAAGCGCCACTCCAGCAAGCCCAAATTCGGGCCCGACCGGCCGGCTGCTGCCAGGACCTGACGAGCTTGAGGGCTGGCCTCCTGCAACAGAGTTTGCGACCTCGGCAACAATGCGGCGGACTGCGCCCGCAAATCCCGCATTGCGCGCGAGCAAATCTGAGCAGCTGCCGATGGCCCCAGAGTTGCAAGGCGAGCAGCCACCTTGCTAAGACGCCTTGGACAAGAAGGCGGAGCCGTGATTGTCTCGAAAGCTGCCTTAGCGGCTTCCACATGCAGAAGCTGAGCTGATCTCAGCGAATCGGCTGCCGAGGATGCTGGAATCGGAACATGGAGCACTGCGTCGTGGCCGCACGCCGCGCCTTCCGGCGCAGTCTCTGAACAGGATGAGTGTTCAGACGAACAAGACTGCGTGGTTTCTGAAGAAAGGCCGTTTTCCAGACAGGGCGTGGTCAGAGACTCCAATACACCCTCCATGGATTGAAACTCTGGAAATCCCTGGTGTAGCTGGAGAGGCCGACCCCCAATCACCCACGCC